ATGTTTTGAACTGAATGATAACGAGACAGCAAAAGCTGTGTTTAGACAGAAATTTCAGTGCCTTGGAGCTCTTAAGAAGCTTGAAAGAAATCAATGAAGCAACTACTTGTTTCAAGGCGAAGCTTGAAAAAAGAGCAAATTAAACCCAAAGAGGCATGGACACTGCAGTGAAATTCAAAACAAACCCAGGGATGGAGAGATTGCTCAGCTGGTGAGGTCCCTGATAGGCATGGATGAAGGCCCAGGTTCCCTCCCTCAGAACCCATGTTTTCAAAAGCTGGGTGTGGTTGCGTTTGCTCATAATCCCAAAGCTTCCCAGACAGAGACTGGTGGAGCCCTGGGGCTTGTTGGCCAGACAGCTGAGCTCCAGGTCAACAAGAGACCCTGTCCCAAAAGACAAGACGGATGGTTCCTGAGAGATGACACTCAGAGTTAATGTCTGGCTTCTCCATGTGCCCATACCCACTTGCACATGAGCACATGTGCACATAGTCCCCCCCCCCAAAAAAAAAAACAAACCAAACAAACAAACACCAAAACATATACAGAGAAGCAACAAAACAGAAACTTCTCTTTGCTAGACCACTGGCAAAACTGATCAAGAAAATAAAACCAGGCTGGCTTGCTTCCAACCCTGACAGCCTGAGTTCCATTCCCAGACCCCATATGGTGGGAAAAAAACAGTCTTGCCCTCTACATGTGTGCCATGCTATGCATGCCCCACATATAAATATATACATTTTAAAAGCAAAGTTACCAATTACTCATACCAAAATTAAAAAAGAAAGAACATAATCTACACTATAGATACTATACTATCCTATAAGCTATATAGGCTTTACAGTAATGGATGTATTGTTCAAATGTCTCACGGGAAGAGAGAGAAACAATGTTGAACAATTTGCTTGATGTGAACAAATTCTTTTCCAAACGCAAATCTCCAAAAATCAACAAGGAAAGAAATGCAACCATTTTCTTGTTTTCTTTACTGAACTTAAAAACTTCCCACATAGAAAATCCCAGGTAAAGTTAGTTTCACTTGTAAAGTCAAGGATCTTAGTCTCATAAAGCTTTTCTCAAGGACAGGTTAGCACAATATCAAAACCCCACAAAAAAAATTAGAAACAAGTAAAGTAATAAGTGAATCTTTCTCATTAATTTTGGTGCAAATATCTGAAAAACATACTGGGCAAATGATTCTAGATAGGAGACAGCTCTGTCTAATAACTAGACTAGTGCGTCAAGACAAGCTTGACATATGGAGGGGGCATATGGAGGGGGCTGGAGAGAGAGCTCAATGGTGAAGAAGAACTCATTGGCTGCTCTTCTGAAGGACCTGGGTTCTTTGCACCTACATAGCTCCTGACAACAGGCTGTAACTCCAGTTCCAGAGGAAACTATGCCCTCTTCTGTCTGAGGGCACTGCAAACATGCAGCACATAGCTGTAACACAGAGGTAAACATCTGTACTAATACAAAGAAAAATAAATAAAAGAATCTGAGAAAGAGAAATAAAGTTAGAGAGACAGAGACACACACAGAGAGAAAAGCTTGGATGGCAAGCTGTGTTTAATGCTTAAATGTTTAAAATTAGCAAACAGAAGAAAGCAGGGAAATAATGATCAATATGAAGATAGAATTAATAAAATCCAATAACCATTCAGGATACTACCTCTGATCAATAAACTTTGTACAGGGAACTTCAAAAATAATATACATGTACAAAAAATTCAGCCTCGGTGCTGAGCTAGGTCTCAGTGGCAAAGTGCTTGCTTGGTGTATAGAAATCCCCAACAGCACATGCAAATGTAACTCCCATACAGACACTGTGCTTAAGGCGGTACCCTGGAAGCTTCTCCTGGGATTGAGAATGAGACAGAGATACTTATTACAGGCACATATCTAAAATGTACTGATTTTAGCCACTTTAATAAGACACAGTAAAACGCTCAAGACAATTGGGAAACAGGAGCCGACTGGGCTCTGGGTGGGGACAGGAATGAAGGGTGGGCTGAGGGTAAAAGGAGGGGCAGAAAATTGTGCAAAAGTTAGGTACTATGTAATTCCCTTCTCTCTTATAAATGATATAACTAGCCTCAGGAGGCATATTGATTAGTTTAAGTTAACTCTTTAAGTAGAAAGGCAATTGATCCAGGATCTAAGTTTCTTTTTAATGTGGTGTGATCTTTCTCAGGAAGGGAGTTAGAAAAAGTATAAAGGAAATTTTGTCAGGATATGTTACTAAGTCTCCCAAACCTAAACAAAATTGCTTTTGAATTCATTACTTAGAACCGGTTTTCTTATGCAGCTAAGAATGTAAGAACATATTAAGCTGAAATGAGATAGTCCTCTTCTATCCAAACTCAAAGAAATGCTATAAAAATATTTCGAGAAGAAAAGAGGGAAAGAGAGAGAACATAAACTAGTGAGAGTAAAAGAGAAAGCAAGAGATTATCGCTAATGCTGAAGACAAGCCTTAAAACTGAGGTAGTGGGAAATGGCACAGGGAGCTCTGAGGGCTGGTGCATAGAGCCACCGCTGATCCAGAAATAGTACACGCTCTTCCCAGCGTTTAAGGAAAAAGTATGTGGGTGAGTGGCAAGAACTAGACTGCCATCCCCATCTTGAAATGTGAAGCCTTGATGATCTCCCCAGTCAGAGGAGGATGTGGCTGGAAGAACCGTCCACAGAGTAGGAATCCTGCCAGAGACTGTGGGAGGGCTCTTCAGGACACAGAAGACATACATATGAAGAGGAAATTTCAGGTCTAGACCACAGTCAGACGGTGGGAGAATCCATGATATTTAGATGGCACACAAATGCTGAGGTAGAAATTCTGAGCACTGTTGGACTTGCTGGGTTCCTGGCAACAACAGAAGCCAATCAAAACAAGGATACTTGGGCAGCATAGCATACGGGGTTTCCATGAAGAGGTGTGGGCTTTTTCTTTTTCTTTTTTTTTAAATGTGGACATAGAGCTGGAAAGTTGGCTACTCATTAAGAGCACTGGCTACTCTTTCGGAGGACGTGGGTTCCACCCAGCACCCACAAGGCAGCTTACAACTCTCTGAAACTCCAGTCCCAGTGGATCCAATATTTTCTTCTGGCCTCTACACACATAGGATACACAGATTGGACAAACACTGATGTACATTAAAAAAAAAATCTCTAAAAGACAGACCATTTTTCAAGAATTACAAATCAAACATGATATATTTCTGTAAAGTAAGATAACATATATATCAAGTAAAATGTTCACCTCACCCTTTTTTAAAAAGCAACTATAATCCAAAAGAAACTATAGTATGACTATGTGAAAAATAAGTTAACTAAAAATAAGATCCCCATGAAAAAATAAGATTTTGAAACACTTGACATTTAAAAATGAATAGACACTTAAAAAATTGTATTACTTGAAAAACAGAGTGTATAAAATCTGAGCCCAGGGGGTTCAGCACCAATCAAGGACCATGCTTGGAGAGGACCTAGACCCCCTGCTCAGACGCTCATATTGGCAGCTCAGTCTCCATATGGGTTCCCAAGTAAGGGGAACAGGGGCTATCTCTATTATGAAGTCGATTGCCTGTTCTTTGATCTCTTATCCCTGGCGATGTGGTCATGTCAGGCTTCAGAGGAAGAGGATCCAGGCAGTCCTGATGAGACTTGATAAGCTATGGGCAGATGGCAGAGGAGGAGAACTCCCCCCCTCAGTGGACTAGGGGAAGGGGATGGGGGAAGAGGGAGGGAGGGTGGAACTGGGAGGAGTTGAGGGAGGGGGCTTCAATCATGATATATAATGAATAAACTGTGGGGAAAAAAAATTTAAAAATAAATAAAGGAAAAAAAGAAAACCAGAGTGTATATATTAACATTATATTAGGTGTAGTTGAGAAATATTTAGTCAACTGGAAGGCAAATATTCCAAAAGGCAGTGAGGAAAATGAAAAAATAGGATAGGATATATGGGAATGAAGTTCAAAGATACAAACAGCAAATCCATTAGAAATTCAAAAGGAACTGATAGAGGGAATGAAGAGAGACAAATAGGAGAGAGATGTCTTTTGAGAAATGAAACTCTGAGCAACACAACTTTTGAATAGAATAATGAATGCAACTGAGGTAGACTAAGATGCAGGTTAGGTTAGCAAAGCACCAGACACCCTGCCCCCAAAAGAGAATTCCAAAAGCAGACAGAGAAAAAATATTCCCTTAAGACAAATCAACATGTCAGAGACTATACCATGGCTCCAAGGAACAGAGGAAAATAGCTATCAATATAAGTGTCATTTCTTCCTTACTTGTTTCCATTTTCTTTTCTGTTTCTTTATTTACTGTGTATACATCTGTGGGCTTCTGTGTGACAGGGCACACACGCGGAGGCCACAGGACAACTTGCTGGAATCAGTTCTCTCTTTCCACCATGTGAGTTAGTGGGAATTGAACTTGGGTCCTTGACCTGCCAAGCTGCTGGAACATGCCCCGTATCTTAATTCCAACAGATGACAGACTTGCCCAGAATTAGGCATCGACACCCAATTCAGTGGAAACTGCACGGAACACCTAAATGTGACCCAGAACATTTCATCTACATGAGGCTCCAGAAGCTTTTTTCTTTATACAGAGGCATAAGTTTGCAGTCTTAGAGTCACAGACTTAGGGAGAATTATTTATAGAGGATATTAACTGAATTCTCAAAATAGAGCGATTAAAATAAAAGCCTGCACAACCAGACAAATGGGTTCACCTGCTGATTTACCTTCTTATGAGTTGAATAATTTGGTTGTTCTTTACTTCCTTCTGAGTTATTTTCTGTACTTGTGTCTCATAGTTCAAGGAAGATTAAATAAGGAATGACAGTAAAGTATTGATGCACAGTAGGAGCTAAATCAATCCCAGTATTTATTATTATTTAACCTTAATTAAATCCTGGAATTTAATCATGTGATTTGAAGGACTTATGCTTAGAGCGACTAATGAAAAACTAAAACAAGAGCACATACTCTGATATCCACCGAGCAGCCCACGGTCCATGATGGATTTCCCAGCACTTGATTGTGGCATAGAAGATGGACCAGTGAAGACTTCCCAACACCTGTGGAAGATACAAGGTCTCCAGTCAGCTGAATGCATAACCCTGCATGGGACCATCTATCCTGTTTCCTATAAGCCAGGGAACATCCCACAAAATTGACTGTCAGTGACAGGTCTGGTGATGTCATGATTCCATACTGTTGCAGGATATTTGATCCGATTGTGAACTGTAAAAACCTGTTTTCTTGTTGTCGTGATTCAGCCCTAACACACACCTTTAATCTAAGAACTTCCTGTTTATTGTAAACAGGTGATTATGGTGTGGCTCAGCTCTAGCACACATCTTTAATCCAACAGCTTTCTGTACACAGGATTTGATAAAGTTAACCCTAGGTCAAGAGGTGGAGCAAGTAATCAACTGACAGGGATTAACAGAAAGGAGAGACTTTGAGTTGAAGGGTATTTAAGACAGCTTGGAAAAGAAGGAGCTTTTGGCTTTTTCCTCCTGGGCTGTCAGTTGAGCTAGCAAGCTTTTTGGCCTTGGGCTTTTGGCTTCTGGCGGTTTGGCTTTGGGGCTTTTAGCTTTGAACTTTTGGTTTTTGTTTTTTCCTTCTGGATGTGAGCTGAGTAGCAAGGTCAGCTGGGGGTGCCTCTGCTTCTCTGAGCTGGCAGGTTTTCACCCCAGCATCTGGCTCCTGAGTCTCCATTAGTAATATTAAATGATTTGGGATTTTCGTTCTTTAAAACCAAACCATACTAAAAGGACTTTAGTGCTTACACATAGGTTTTTAAAAAGCAGCTAACCACATAGCCCCAGACTGATCCTCTGAATAATAACAATTCTACTCTTTTCTTCATCATGGCTTTTTATTTTGAAGCAGTACGTTATCTCTTTCTAGATCTCTTGCTCTCAGGCAATCCTGTCACTAACACTAACGACCTCTTGAAGATCCAGATGGAGAGGAAAGGGATAAGCCCTCTATTTCTATCCTGATGTGTGTCACTCATTCATTTAACTGGCTGTGAATTGTTAATTTTATCAAAAATTTAGGAAATCTTTTTGTGTATAGACCTATCACTTGTTTACTTTTTATAATAAAAGCTGTATTTCCAACAACTGAAAAGTATAAAAAGGAGAAATCACCTTAGGTCACTACTGCCAGGCATATGGGATCTTCTAGGAGCATACTGGAATTGAGATCATGTGCACAGTGTACTTAAAAGCTGGCTGGGCACTCAGTGCTTGCTGTAAATGCATGAGAACCTGAGTAGCACCTACAGAATCGACACAACAGCCAGGCATAGAGGCGCATGCATGTAACGCCAGCACTGGGGAGGCAGAGACAGAGATGCCTGCTAGCCTGACAGCCTTAGACGGTGGGCTCCATGCCAAGTGAAGACCTAGTCTTAAAAAGGTTGGGGGTAGAGGCAGGTGAATGTTCATGAGTTTTAGGCCTGCCTGGTTTACATGGTGAGTTCTAGGCCAGCCTGGTCTACACCGAGGGTTCTACACTAGCCAGGACTACACACTGAGACTATATCTCAAACACCTCCACACCCCAAACAACAACAAAGCAAGCACTCGAGAGATAGTTCAGCCATTAAAATTAAAGATTTGTTGCTCTTGCCATTGAGATTCTGGTTCAGTTCTCAGCTAGGAGGAAAGTAATTAAAAATAAAAACCATAATGATATACATTACCATCATCTTTGCCATTCAATTTTCTTATGAATTTTGTACTTATGTGCTATTTAACTAATTATGGATTTTAGAGTTATTAACATATATAACCTTGTGTCATACTGGGGTATTGAGTAACGAATTAAAGTTCTTACACATGCTTGGCAACTGCTCTGCTATGGAGAAACATCCCAGCCCTATATGACCTCTTTACATATTAAAAGAGATTAAATATCCCATGTAATCGAAGCAAATATTTTCTCTCAGGTTTCCACTTTATTCTTTTAGATATAAACTTTAAGATTTCAGGGTACTCAAAATCAGTTTGTCACCATGCTTACTGCACAGTGTCTGTCATCTACATCTTTAAAGTGTATTGTTGATATTTCTGTTTACATATAGGTTTATGTTGGAGGCAAACCTAGGGATTTAGTTCCCAGCTTGACATATGCTTGAGCCCAAAGCTGGCTTAACTGAATCAGGATAAGCATCTCTATGTAGTAAGATTATATAGTTCTTTTTAGCTCTCCATGAATTAAATGCTTTGAGTGTGTTGGCCAAAATGAAAGGAAGCTCTCAAAAGAACAGATGACATACTAGAGACTAATGAGGTATTAACTATTCATTTCCTTAAGAATTTTGAAAAGTTAGTAACAAACTATAGATATAAGGATTTTGGAACAAAACCTGCTTCTGAGTTGCCTAGTAACTTATGGTGTCATCACATGTCACCGGCCAGGTGGCCACACCTGGAAGGCGTGGTTACCTTGCCCTTTAAAGGGACCAGCCGGCCATGTGATCTCTCTCTTGGTCCTTTCTTCCTCTCTATTGTGGAGACCCCCCTCTCCTCCCCTTCCTCTCTCTTTCCCCCCTCTTTCTCCCCATCAATGTCCTGCTCTCCCTTCCCTTCCTCTCTTCATATCCACCTAATAAACCTCTTTCATAGAAGATCTGTTGTGAGCCTCATCATGATTTAAGTGGTCCCAACAATAGACATTTGTCTTTATGCCCACAGATAAGTGCAGTCTTCACCCCTCATCAAGGAAACTTTACTTTGCAACAGACAGAAAACCACAACCAATCAAAATGCAGAGCTGTGGAGCCCAGGCCCAAAGGCTTCATCTACAAAACTCTTCCTGCTTAGGAAACATTAAAGGAGAGGGGTAGAAAGATTCTAAGAGCCAGGGGAGCAGGGAGTTTGCTGTGAGAGTGAGTCTCCTAGCAATACCTATCAGAAGCTACACCCATGAAGTCTTACCAACATGACTGCCCAAACATGAGCTGACCACGGATGACACCAATGGACACAGCACACTGGAGAGGGAAAAACCCATGAGGCCTCAACAGGCCTACACAGACAACTACAAACAACTGAGACAAGCCAGGAGCGGGACAGGTGGTCCTCCCCAGGGAAGAACACACCAGTTGGCTGCCCAGTGCCAAACAGTCAGTCCTGAAAACATATGTACAAGTAGCACTATATGGACTTAACAGGTTATACTTAAGAATATATATGTAAATACAAATACATATATGCATGCAATAACAGTGAAAAAAAGAGGCCATGAATTTGAAGGAAAGTTGGGAGGAGATTTGGAGGAAAGGATAGGGAGAAAAGATCTAATTAAATTATAATTTCAAAATAGACACAATTTTTAAAAAAAGAATAAAAGGGGTGAAATATTAAAGAAAAAGGTATTTGGGGAAGTTAAGACTGTTTTCAGTCTTAGAATTAAATATTTGAATGTGTTCTATTTGGGATGTGTTCCCTCTGCTTCCAAGTATGCAGCAAAACGTCTGTTTAGAGCACAGAAGGCCCTTTCCCGAAAAGCGCATCTATAAAATGCATGGCTAGTGTACGTTCAAGTTCTTGGGAGCTGGAAATGGGAAAGAGGAGGATAATAAGGCGGGAGAGGGAAATAAAGGCTTAAATTGTAGTTATAAAATTTCAAGGTATATATAAAAAATAACACTAAAATTAAAACTGCTCAGCGTTAGGCGGCTTTAGAGTGTGGCCTTTATCAAATTTCTTTATTCCCATATATCTCAAAACCTAACAGGTATTCAACTATTAGATGAGAACAAGTAAGTTAAAAAGGAAATAGATAGAAATACTATCTATTGGCCTATTGCATGATGCAGCTTACGACTCTGGGTTCGAACCAGTCCGCCTCAGATTTATCATCTGCAGAATGGAGCTAAGAGTCTGATTTTAGAATTAAAGAAGTTAATACATGTCAGTGTATTCTCAGTGTACATTTGACTTAATGAACAGTGTTTCCTAAGGCGCGATCTTACTAACTTCTGGGTGCCTAACAAGAGCAATAAAGGAACTGACAGTATGCTCTCGGCTGGGGTCGAACGGCGAGACCGACGTATCGAAATGCAAAGCAGGGAAAGACCCGAGCTCGGCGACCCCCACCTCCCGCCACGCCACCACATTGTCAAAAGGAGCAAAGTCCTCTGGGAAGTGTAGTCTTAAGGTCTTGAAAAGGACTTCAGCCGTGGACCCACGAGCTAGGAAGTTGGGGGTACAACAACGAAGAGTGGGGAGTACTGGGTAGCTCGGGTGTAGCGGGAGTCCCAGACGTGGGTTTTGCGGCTCACCTGAGTCTCCCAACACCAGAACCTTCACCCGATCCAGGGTCGCCATCTTGCCACGGTCTCCTTGAGGTTAACGCCCTTTCCTGGATTCCCAGCCAATCAGGGCAGGGTTTGGAGGCAGGGCCTACCACCTCATTGGTCAGTTACGAAGCGACTGGTTTGATTGAAAGCTTCGCCGTGCGGATTAACGGGAGGTTTCCAACCTGGTCGCAGGAAATAGGCGTCTGTACTTGCCTCGCAAGTGGCGTGGGCCGGCCGAAGCCGGTAGTTGAGGTCCCGAGGGCGGCTGTAGTGGGAGTGTTCGTGCATCCGCTTGGGTAAACCTTATTCCCTGCTCCTTATTCCCGGTTTCCGGCCCGGCGTGCTATTTCATGGTTTCTCCTGCCCCCCCTTCCTGGTCTAGTCCCCCCTCGACCACCTTCTTGCCTTGGTCCTCTTAGTCTTCCAAAGAGCCATTGCCCCGGAGCGGCCCGTGTGCTACCTCGGGCAGGACGGGCTCGGCGGTGTCCAGTGTGGCCCGGGAGCCCCCTGGGCGCGCCTGAGCGACTGTGGGTTCTCTGGGTCTGGACACTTGTGAGCACAGCTGGTGGAGGGCACCCGGGTCCGGAGCTGCCGCCGTCGTGGGACCCCTTAAAGGACGAAGGGCTGGAGAGTTCGTGAAGTACAGTAACAGAGAACTGTAGAGGCTGTGGTAGAAGCCACGTTCTTCTAAGAACTTGGGAAGTAGTATTTTGAAATGGACTAACTAGCTGGGCTTCCTGCACCCGCTCTGTTCTTTTATTCTCTCCCAACCCCCCTTCTTCACCCAGCATAGTCTTTAAAAACCACAGGTTTCATCTAGTAACTCCTTGCTTAAAGCAATTACTAGTTGTTTTTTTTTTTTTTTTTTTTTTTTAAAGGATGGCTTATAGCTGTTAGTGTTGGGGTGCAGGTGTGAAACAAGGGCATTGTGTGAAAGCTGGCAGGATGGGTATGGTACAAGAACACTTGCCCAGGAGATGAATTGGAAGTTTGAGTTAAGTACTTGAGTGACCAGGCGCTAGCATTGATGAGCAAGGTAATAATAAGTCCCTGCTCCTAGAAACTGTACAAAGTATGAGGGAATGTGAAGTCGAGCATCAGATGGTACTGTTGGGAATTTGGGAAGGCCAGGAAACATTATGCAAAGCCTAACGACGTTAGGAGAATGGTGTGAACTTAGCTCTGAGGGGGATAGGGAAACAGTACGTGGCTATGAGGCTGACTTTGCTAAAAATGGAGTGATTTCAACTTGGTTTCCCCTAACTCTACACCTGGGGCACAATTAGAATATAGGCCTGACTGGCTAGGGTGAAGTTGGGAGAGCCCTGGTTATCACTGTGAAGAGGAAAAGGAGACCATTAGTAATGACACCAAGAAGCCTCCACAGACAGACCAGAGAAATCCCTTCCTTCAGTGTCACCTTAGCTATAGAATTTCTAATGTAGGAAGGTGGGCTCACTTTTTACTTACTAACAATTTTCAAGAGTCGTGGGAAGTTGAATTTTTTTATATGTACCCAAGATTTTTAAATGTTGACCACTGGTTCAAAGTACTCTATGGGTTGCCAGTTCCAGAACTTGATCTAAGTGGCTTTAAGAAATGCAGAGATTGAATAATCGTTATACCTCTTGATTCAGGATGTGGTGAAGGAGCAAAGGCCTTGGTCAAGAAGGATTTAACATTTGAGTTTGGTTGTTTTTTTGTTTTTTGTTTTTTAACTAGCTAGCCCTCCTGAGCTCCAGTTGTTTGTATGTATGTATGTTGGTTTGTTTGTTTTAAATTCAGGCACCTTGTGTGTGTCTTCAAAGGAATATGGTGTTTCATCAAAGACAGGCTTCTGAAAGTGGATGTCCCGGTCTTGAGTCTATAAGGCTTAGTCCTATAGACTAAGATATTGCCTATTTCTCCTGCACTTTTCCTTCTTACAGTGGCCCAAAACAGCTGCTTGTGGTTTTTCCTCCACTATATTGATGGAACCTTTTGATTTCCTTTCTGTGATAATTTTCGTTTCTCTTGTCATTGCAACTCCTCCCTCCCTAAGTTTAGGTTTTATGACTCTAGCTCGTGATATAACCACAACACTGCCATCTTCCTATCAGGTCACTGGCGGAAATGTCAGTTAGATGGGGGCATTTGTTCTAAATGCCAGTACTTGAGTTGAACTCATATTCCAGCCCATAAGCAGAACACATTATGTTACTCGTCTGATTCAATTCCTACATTAACTGTGTGGGAAAGGCACTTTAATCACTTTATGTCTGAGGTTCACACTAAGAAACTGACCTGGGATTTCCAAGCTTCAAACTATTGGCTGGAAGAGTCTTGAAGTCAATCCCTTGTACTGATCTTCAGTTACACCCAGAGATGTAACTGAAACCAAGGAAACAGACTGCACTACAAATACAGGGGCCTGGACATACAGGACGTTCATTTGCAGCCTGCAAATGGCCATGGGACAGATTGGAGCAATGACCAGAGACTTTTGTTGCACATTAGAGTAATCTAAAGGGATTTTAAAATTAGCAGCATTCCTGATCTGGCCCTTCCATACTGGCTGAAACAAAATTCCTGGGAATGGGGCCTAGTGTTAGTTAAGATGCTTAAAATGCTGCCTCGATGATTCTGCTCTACAGTCAGGGTTGAGAACCAATGGTCTGCATCTCACAGTGTCTGAGGGGGTATAGAGGAGAGGAAGATGAGAAATAATAGGCTACGCTCACATTCGTCTGCCCTTTGGTCTTTTGAATGTTTCTAAAGCCACAGGTTGTATTTTGTCAGCTGCTGAGCATGTGAAACAAGAAGAAAAATGTGGTTTTAAGTACATTAGAGACAAAACTGGACAAAACATTTGGAGATCAAAATGTATGTGGGAGTGTGCTGTGATTCTGTTTTAACGAACGCAGACATTCTTAAACATCTATGGTGACAAAGGCTCTCGGACTGCAAGTTTGGACTAGTAAATCCTAGCGCTGCCTTGCCATCTCTGTGTGTGTTTAGTTATGCTTGAGTACTGTAGTTTAAAAATATATGTTGTAACTAACTTTCTTTTAATCTTTGCTTTATTGTAGATATGGGCTTATAACCCCAATATGTGTGTACATTGGTTATGTAGGACTTTATGCTCTAATACTGTAGATATGATAACATTTCTTACAGAAAGAAGCATCAACTCTGATAGGGTTGGTTACTTCAGAGTTTAAATTAAAGGTTTAATTTACAACAACCCAATTGCAGCCTCTCTAACTAAAGTCCAGAACCCAAGTGCTGTGACGTGGGAGACTCTGAGTGGACAACTTGGTGGGCTGTGGCCTCCACATGGAGACAGCTAGCTTCTGCTCTGCTCCTCAAGGGACCTGTGTTTAAGGGTGTCTTTTTTTCTTCATCCTCCTCCCTCCAATTTTTAAGCTCAAGAAGGCACTCAAAATTGGTAAAGCACTTTCAATCTTAGCATTAATTTTCTTCAGTTTCTTCAGTTGTTTGTTAATTTTGTCAGATGCCCCAGCTGGCTGGCAGTTACTTATGTGTTTATATTGGTTTTCTTGTTTTGTTTTTGTTTTTGTTTTTGGTGATTTCATGGTTAAAATGTGACTATGTAAAACACTTAAAAATCTTTTTTATTCATTTTTCTTATTTATTAATTGCACTTTATTCACTTTGTATCCCCCCGTAAGTCCCTCCCTCCTCCCCTCCCGATCCCACCCTCCCTCCCCGTTCTTCACCCATGCCCCTCCCCAAGTCCACTGATAGGGGAGGTCCCCCTCTCCTTCCTTCTGATCTTAGACTATCAGATCACATCAGAAATGGCTGCATTGTCATCTTCTGTGGCCTGGTAAGGCTGCTCCCCCTTCAGGGGGAGGTGATCAAAGAGCAGGCCAATCAGATTATGTCAGAGGCAGTCCCTCTTCCCATTACTATGGAACCCACTTGGACACTGAACTGTCATGTGCTACATCTGTGCAGGGGTTCTACGTTATCTCCATGAATAGTCCTTGGTTGGAGTATGAGTCTCTGGGAAGTTTCCTGTGTTCAAATTTTCTGGTTTTGTTGCTCTCCTTGTGTGGTTCCCGTCCTCTCCAGCCCTTACTATTTCCCACTTCTTACATAAGATTCCATGTACTCTGCCCAACAGTTGGCCATCAGGCTCAGCGTCTGCTTTGATAGTCTCCAGGGCAGAGCCTTTCAGAGGCCCTTTGTGGCAGGTTCCTAGGTTGTTTCCTGTTTTCTTCTGATGTCCATCCTCTTTGCCTTTCAGGAGGGGGATTGAGCGTTTTAGTCAGGGTCCTCTCTTTTGATTAGTTTCTTTAGATGTACAGATTTTAGTAGGTTTATCCTATGTTATATGTCTATATGAGTGAGTATATACCATGTGTGTCTTTCTGCTTCTGGGACAGCTCACTCAGGATGATCCTTTCTAGGTCCCACCATTTACCTGCAAATTTCATGATTTCCTTATTTTTCATTGCTGAGTAATACTCCATTGTATAGATGTACCACAATTTCTGCATCCATTCTTCAGTTGAGGGGCATCTGGGCTGTTTCCAGCTTCTCGCTATTACAAATAAAGCTGCTACAAACATGGTTGAGCAAATGTCCTTATTGTGTCCTTATTGTGTACTTGGATATATGCCTAGGAATGGTATGACTGGATCTTGAGGAAGCGCTATTCCTAGTTGTCTGAGAAAGCCCCAGATTGATTTCCAGAGTGGTTGTACAAGTTTACATTCCTACCAGCAGTGGAGGAGGGTTCTCCTTTCTCCACAACCTCTCCAGCATAACACTTAAATATCTTAGCAGGAAATTTTTATTGAAAAGAAACGAAGTCTAGGGTAATTGCTAGGATCCTCTGGATTTCCAGCCATTCCCAGAGAGCCTGCCAATAAGCATAGTAAACACTCTTAGAGGGTTTTTGTTGTTGTAGTTGTTGTTTGTTTGTTTGTTTTTCTTTGTGAAATAAAGTAGGGTTGATGTAATATATCATTGTCAGAAATAATTGTGTTTTTGGAATTGAGCACATTGTTGATCATGAAAGTAACTATTTAAAGATTATGTCAAGCTTTTTAGGTGTAGTCTTTAGTGTACTATAAAGGAAAATTGTGGCTTTCTGTTAAATGTTTTAAGTGTTAGAGGTCTTTTAAAGCAATGTTTGAATGCGTTCGTGGCACTTTAAAAATGATAGCTCCCAGTAAGAGGTTGTTGTAGATTTAAAGTGATGATTGTGTCCTCATGCCCACTAATTCTTGTCCCCTCAATCCATTACAGGTGAAGCTTGCTGTTGAAGATGGCAGACCCAGATGTGCTCACCGAGGTGCCTGCGGCATTGAAGCGGCTAGCCAAGTATGTCATCCGGGGCTTTTATGGCATTGAGCATGTGTTGGCCTTGGACATCTTGATCCGGAACCCCTGTGTGAAAGAAGAGGACATGCTGGAGCTGCTCAAGTTTGACAGGAAGCAACTTCGCTCTGTTTTGAATAATTTAAAGGGAGACAAATTCATCAAGTGCAGAATGAGGGTAGAGACTGCTGCGGATGGGAAGACCACACGCCATAACTACTACTTCATCAACTACCGCACTCTTGTCAATGTGGTAAAATACAAACTGGACCACATGAGAAGGAGGATTGAAACGGATGAGAGAAATTCCACCAATCGGGCTTCCTTCAAATGTCCTGTCTGCAGCAGTACTTTCACCGACCTGGAAGCTAATCAGCTGTTTGACCCCATGACAGGTGAGACCTACTCACTTTGTGCATCAAGTAAAATGAGCTGTGGACTTCTTTTTTGACAATTGTTCTAAATTGTAAGCCAATTATAGACTGACAGTTTGAGAAGCTTTGCGTGGCCTCTTCCTTCACAAAGACGTGTCTTTATCCATGGAGCTAACAGCTCACCTGAAACTCTCCCTTCCAATCCAAACCCTTATTTAGTGCTGAGCCTAATCTGGAGGATTGATTTCTCTACCACTTTGAAGCTATTATAAGTTTACTTGTGATCTCATGCTTCAGCAAATTATTTTAGTGTCTATTTATGTCAGTCACTGGCAGATAAGCTTATAAGAATATAACATAATGTGCTTAAGAGCTTTGCTAGTGAGTGTCCATTGTGCCAGTAGGGGTGTGTGAACTAGAATATGTGATCTGCGTTTGGGGAGGGTCTCTAGAAGAAGGACTAGCTGAGCCCTGAAAGAGTAAATGAGAATTAGCCAGATCAAATAAGAGGGGAACTCTTTTTAACTTAACAAAGGGATCAATAATTTAGATCAGTTAATGGGAGAGAATTCTTAACAGCATGTATGAGTTGCTTCATTTATCACATACTTTAGTTTTAAGAATTTTCATTAACACAAGTTATGAACCATGTTTTCCTAAAATACAGTATATTTGGCATTAACTCGGGAAACAAAGTGCTGGGTTAAATTGTTATTTTTAAACTAAGCTTGAGACAAGTTTTGTCAAATACTTGGTGGAACAGTTTTGTCCTGTTATCTTGCATTGAGCTTATTTTATCTAAGAGAAGCTTTTTTGTTTTTGGTTGCCCTTTGTTTTTTGAGACTAGATCTCCCTGTATAGGTCAGGCTGGAATTCACTTGAACTCATTATGTTGACCTTGAACTCCTGTTGATCCTTCTGCCTCAGCATCCAGAATGCTATGATTATAGACCACGTGCACCACCCTGCCTAGTGCATTAGTTACCTTTTTTACTCTGATAAAGCAGCGTGCTCAAAACTGACTTATTTAAGAAAGAGTTTATTTTGGTTTACAGTTCCAGAGGGAGAGTCCATAATGGTCGAGATGGCATGGCTGCAGGCAGGTGGAGCAGCAAGCTAAGATATTATGTCTTCCTTTATGTGAAGGAAGCTGAGGGAAAGGGGGGGGGCTGATGTTACAAACACTCAAAGTCTGGCCACAGTGACGTACTTCTTCTGGCAAAGTTCCAGCTCTTACAGGTTACCCTCCCCAGGTTCTCAGACACTTGGACCTATGGGAGACATTTCTCAGAGAGATAATCTGGAGTAATCTGCTTCTACATTTATTCATCATTTAAGTCCTTTTTTAATTTTCTGAAACTTTCTAAATCATCACTGAGATCCATGCTGCTCTTTGAATTTTACTCCTGGTTAACATGAATTAAACTAGTTGTAATCAACAGATAGCCTTTGGAAAAGTTGTTTTGATTTGTGAGGAGAGCTACAGTTCCTAGAATCAGCGAGTTGAGATGGGGTAAAGGCATGGAAAGATTTTTTTTTTTTTCCTGAAAGAAAACTAAGCTGAAGCGAGTGTATCGTAGCTGGTCTCTATTTTCAGTATGAGGTTGATATTCAGCATGAATGTGGGAAGAGGGGGTGTGGAGAGCAAGAAAAGCCACTTAACCATTCATGTCACCCAGAAGCTTGTACTCAAAGCTCAGTTGGTGGCTTTTTGCTTATAGTGCAACCTGACTTAGCATAACAGGAAATCTGTAATCATCAATTAAGGATTCTTGTTCTTGAATGTACTTGCTGTCTGATAATGTGGCCTTTACCTAAGGACAAAATGTACTAAGGTAGATATTAGGCCCCCGTCTATGTGTTAATTCACAAATGATTCTTAAAGGACTAATACCTTCATTAGTCTATGTGTTAATTCACAAATGATTCTTAAAGGACTAATACCTTCATTAGTCTATGTGTTAATTCACAAATGATTCTTAAAGGACTAATACCTTTGTCTTTCTTTGCCTGTACATCTTGTTTAGAAATTCTCGTGGGCCCTCCCTTTGTCTCCTTCCTGTTCTGCTTAGTTTTTAATCTCTCCTGCCTTCACTATGGAGAAAATGGGAAATAAACATCAATTCAGCGGGGTGCAGGGTCCTAACTGATAATATTTATGCAGTTGAAATTTGTACACAGGAGATTTCATTCTAACCTCAGTCCTCTGCACACCTCAAATTTATACTATTTTCATTTGATACTGGAGATTAATGATGTCTCTGGTCTAAGGATGGAGATATCTGAAGGGCTTCTTTTATTTGTTTGGTTGTTTTTTGAGAAAGGGACTCAGGTAGCCCAGACTGGCTTTTGAACTTGCTGTGTAGCTGAGAATGACCTTGAATTCCTGGTCCTTCTTGCCTCTATGTTCTAGGTCAGTGGTTCTCAGTTTTCCTAATGCTGTGACCCTTTAATACAGTTCCTCATGTTGTGGTGACCCCAACCATAAAATTAATGTCATTGCTATTTTATAACTAATTTTTGATGTTATGAATCATAATGTAAATATCCGATATGCAGGATATCTGATATGCTAGGCATTAGGCATGTATTAACTAGCTAAGTGATGGACATGATGAATTTCCATTTCTGTTTTTTTCTTCAGCACTTCTTAGGTTGAACTGTAGTTTATTTTTAGCTATCTGGGAACATTCAGTAATAGGATTTGTAGCCTTCCATACTTTGCTACTTTTGATAAAATGTTCTTAACTCAAAATGTATGGGCAGCTCTTTGCCAGAGAACAAAAGGAAGTAACTCCCAGGTGAACTCCCAGGAGGAGCATGGGAAATCTTGGACTCAATGAGTGTAATGATTATTTTATTATTGTTAATTCATGTATAGGCCAATGTTTTCCAGTATAGTTTTTCTCTCCCCCTCTGCTTTTCCTACAGGTCTGTACATTTTCTCCGTTTTTGCCATTTATGCTTTGCTTTTGAGACCTGGTCCAACTGTCGATGTTTAGTATATGTAGATTTTTTTTTTAATATCATTTGGAGTAGCTTTCAGTTTGGCCAACGTTTAATAAGCAACACAACTGGTCGTCCACACAGTTCATATTTGAGAACTGTGCAGTGTAGCTGCAAAATTAAAAAAATGCAAAAAAAACTCTCTAAAGATGCTTTAAGTGAATTTATGATTTTGTATTGGACAGCATTCATAGTCAGCATATGGCTAGTGGGCTGCAGGTTGGACAAGCCGTGGTAGTCTTTGCCCACCAGTTCTGGGTTTCAGAAGTTAAATCAGACAGAAATAGCTGTTTTGGTTCCAGAAATATGGGGAGGTTATATAATTAAAACAGACATGACATGAAATCCCTCAGATGAGTAGAATAACATCTTCTTGTTCCTAAGTGCATGTTTCAGATTTAGCAGGCTTTCTAACAATGCAAATAGACTTAGTATTTCCATCCTAACACTCTCAGCCACATGTGATGCAGTTAATGGCACTTCTGAGTTAAGTTTAGCAATGTGTGTTATTCTCTTTTTATGTTAGGGTTAGATGGAATGGAAATAGCTTTTTGTTTTCCATTTTAATTTTAAAATATGCATCTGTAATTTTCAAAAAATTTTAAGGAAAAGAGATTGCTAACAAAATCACTGGCCTTTTAGTGTATTACCTGTATTTATAAGTTGCCTAGAATACTTTTGGTATCTTGCCTCCTTAATGTACCATTCAGAATATAGTTAATATGTTTGGTTTTCCCTGCCATAGCATGGGGTCTTTGTTTTTGTCCCCTCTGTTGTAAATAAGATGCATTCCTTTGTATATGTTGCATTTTATTGTAGAGGAATTTTAATTCAGAACTTGGTTGTTCTGGCAAGACCTTTTAGGTTTGTGTGATCCGGCTGGCAAGAGATCACATCCGTAGATCCTCTAGGTCTGTGTGATCTAGCTGGCATACAAATACACCTTTAATCTAGGAGACAGAAGCAAGCAGATCTGAGTTCAAGGCCAGCCTTGTAGAGAGCAGGTTTCAGATAAAGAAAAGTTTAGGTTCAGGAGTGGTGGTATAGGCCTTTAATCCTAAAGTATGAAAGTAAAGTTAGTTTGTAAAATGAGGCACCCATGTTGAAAATGGTGTTTAATTGAGTGGCAAAAAAGTGATAAATCAGAGAAAGATTTGACAGAGTAGGATATGCCCAACTTTCAGGAGAATAGAGAGGAAAGGGAAGCTACATAAAAGAGCAGCACAGTGAGTGAGAGAAAAGGCACTTTTGCCAGGAGAGTTTTTCAGATAGAGGTTTCATGAGAGAACAAAGTAGACATAGGTGAAGACAGAACAAGCCAGAGAATAAGAATGAGCCAGAAGATTAGAGTAGATTGCTGGAGTTAGTTTGAGGCCAAGCAGAGCAATTCAGGGGCCCAGAGAAAAGCCAGATTGACTAAGTAAGCCGGGGGAGGAGTTTGAGCCAGAATAGCTGAGTTGAACTAGCCAGTTAAAAACTTGGTAAGAGCTAGAAAGAGTTTATTCAGCAGTGTCAGAGGCTGAAAACATTCTAGGCCTAGGTTAGAGTGTTCAGAGGCTAGAGGTTTCTAGGACTAGGCCTAGGTTACCTGGTGGAGGCTAGGAGCCTCCAAGACAACAATTGAACCAGCGAATAAAACTTTATTTTACATTTCATTCTTGCTTAAATTCTTCTCAGTAAGATTATTGCCAAAAGAATGCAGTTTTGTAGCTTCTATAAATATGCACGTGGCACTGTGGTTTTATTGTAAGTGGAATAGAATTCTCAAATGTTGGAATTAGAAATATGTTGGAAGCTTTATTACTGATTGCCTGAAGAGCATGGACACCCATTTTAAATAAACTTTGAGATGGGGGAAATTAGATATTCCCTTTTTTAAAAAAAATTATTTATTTATTATTTTACAGCATTCTGCCTGCATGTGTGCCTGTGCACCAGATCTCACTATAGATGATTATGAGCCACATGTGGTTGCTGGGAATTGAACTCAGGACTTCTGGAAGAGCAGCCAGTGT